CTCCCAGGTCTGTCCACTCTGTGACCTGCCGGCATGGAAGAGGGTTTGGTACCACAGACCCAGCTCACGTGTGGACACGGACAAAGGGTCCACACAGACCCAGCGACCAAGACAGAAGCAGCGTTCTCCCGCGGAGGGTGAGAGGAGGAGCCACAGCCGCATTGGGTGTGAAGTTGGGGAAAGGCAGTGGGGGTGGGGAGAGCGAGCAGGAGGCAGAGAAGGCAGTGGGAGGGGAGGTGGGAGGGGAGGAGGGAGGCGGGAGGGGGGGGCACTGGCACCTCTGGTCCTCGCCTGTCCCAGGGGGAGCGGGGACACGGGTGCACTGACAAGTGCGTCCTCTGAGCGGCTGTGCGCCCGGGTGACAGTGACTGTTCGGTGCTGAGAGTGTCTCACGGGGGATGCCCATCGTAGAGGTGCATCTGGCTGCACGTGGGGGCAGGGGCGGCGCATGGGCGCTGACTCACTAACTCCGTTTCCCTTGTCTCTTCTGCCCACAGAGGAGCTGCGGAGGCTCAGCTGGTCCGGGATCCCGAAGCCGGTGCGTCCCATCACGTGGAAGCTCCTCTCAGTGAGTGCTCATCCCGGGGCCTGCTCGTCGCCGCCTTCCCCGTGAGGGCGGCCCATCATCCTTCCCCCGGGAGGGCAGCCCCGCGTCCGTCCCCGTGAGGGCATCCGTCCCCCTCATCTGGCCGGAAGTGTGGCTGGTCGCTCGGACGCCTGGTCTGTGGCGATGCAGGCCTTGGGCGGAGGACATGGCCCACCCTTGGCCTCATGAGGAGCCGGTGTGACAGGGCTGCCAGGAAATGTGAAGCCCCAGTCGGGGCGGCCGTGTGTTCTTGCTCTGACCTCCGTGTTGTGAATAAGCTCCGTGAGGCGTGCAGACCTGGTGAAAGGCCCGAGTGGGAGGAGGCGGCGGAGAGTCAGGGCCGTGTCGGACGTGCTTTCTGCTGCTCTCAGCCATGGCGCCGGGGACAGGCTGATGGAAACAGTGGCCTCTGCGATGAGGGTGGAGCCCTCGCTCCTCACCGCACAGAGCTCTGGTCGGGAGCCGTGTGGGCGAGGGGTGGGTCATGGCCCTGCGCCCGCACGGGGCTCCCGGTGGGGCAGCTCCCCCTTCATTGTTTTGGAGCCAAGTCAGTGGGGACTCTGTTTGCTCTGAACGGGCCCGACTTTGACAATTTAAAGGACGCTTTCTCGCTAATGAGTCTCAATCAATCTGCAGCTTAGCGCCCCGTAATCCTAAACGCGGTGCAGCCTGAACAGTGACTGCGTATTGATTAAATGCTCTCTTGCTATTCAGTTAGACCTGCTGCAGTTGCTGGTGTTTTGTTTGTTTTAAGCATTTCTTTCCAGTCTTCCTACCTTTCCCTTTAAGGTGGGTTTCGAGCTCCTCAGAGGGAATTGTGGGAAGTTGGGGTGAAAACGCCGTTAAGCCCCTTCACGGCAGTTTGCGTTGTTGCGGGTGTGCTGCGTCCCTTGGCAGGTGTCGCGCGGTGACCGCATCCTGTTCTTTTCCTTCGGTGCCTGACTGCGGGTCATGGTTAGATCCTTACATGCTGCCCAGGGATTGGCCTGGGCCTCGGGGCAGAGGAGCCGAGCGGAGAGGCCACAGGTGCCCCCGGGTGGGCAGGGACAGGGCGCAGCAGAGATGTGGCAGCCCCGGCCGCCCCCTGGAATTGGATCTCCATGCTGGGTGCCTGGTCGTGCCGCCTGGGAGCTTGGGAGGTACTGACACCGAGGCGCCCGCAGGGTCCCAGGTGTGCCCAGGGTTGCACTGCTGCTCCAGGACACTGGGCTCCTGGGACAGGGAGAGAGGTGCCTGCTGGGAGTGGGGGTGGCGGGACTGCCTGGGCACATGTTGTCCCGGGGGCTCAGGGGAGGGCTGGGAGGTGCTCTGTCCTGTCTACTCTGCCCCCAGGACCAAGGGCTCAGCCCTGAACCAGGATGGAGACGTTACCATTTATCCAGGTCAGTAGGACGAACAGCCAGTGTCCTTGACCGCGGACCTGTGTCAAGGCTCGTGAACAGGACTGCTTCCTGTGTGTCCACGACCCGTCAGTGACGTGGTCCGGTGGCTGTGGGCGTGCTGTCCTCAGGGGCGGTGGCCCTGGGCCTTAGTGAGGGACACGAGAGACGCTCCTGCTGCTGGGGAGCGGGCTGCACTCAGCCCGGAGCCCCTTCGCGCCCCGC